TTGACCTTTAGAAGAGACACCAAACAGGTGTTGGGCTTTATATTTCAACCCCTTTGTAGTCTTCAATATCAAAACCGGGTATCCCAGAATAGGGGATGCATCTAGCATACATATTGTAATCAGAAGGGATGTTTGTGAGAGGAAGACCTCAAAGATCAGAGCTAGGAAGAGCTGGGAATAATAGGATGTAATGCATTGGGCTCGCATTAGCATGCTCATCAGGGTTCTTGTGTCTTGGCTTAAAATCTTTCCCCATGAATTCACTTGGGGAATAAAGACTGGCTCTTGTTGAACAAATTAGGGAACATAAAGTTATGGAGGATGTCCCCGATTAGAAGGTATGATGCCCCGGCGTGGCGACCACATCTGACGTTGGTTAACAAAAACGAAGCACTGATATAAGATCCTTTACTGTGACAGTAGGTGTAAGATTGTTGACATCATCATCAGAGCTTTCATGACCTATCTCATATGAGTTTTCAATCAATTATCTTCCTGCTTGAAGATATTTTTGACTACAGGCCAAAGCTTGTAGGTATACCATGTGGAGTTATTCCCTAACTGATCCCTGAACAAGTTCAGTAAGAAATCAAAGCTAAACCTCCGAGGAGAACCATGTCTGAATAAGAATCCCCAATCTTCGGGTACCTGTCACGAATGCATGAATATACATGGAGTGTATGAATGAATTCCATGTCATGTTTTGTTATTTCCAAGGAATTTGCGTGCTTTGATTTTGTTTTTGCGTAAGTAAGGGATGGAAGAATTTTGGCACAAGACTTGCAAATATGATTCCTTGAAAATAACAGAACATGTATGTTAAGCATGCAGTTAGCCATGTTATGTATGCAAAGGCATGAGATCAAAGAGGATCATGGTTCCATCATTCCTGAATAAGGTTGCTACACTGCTCTGGATCATGTGAGTATCATCAGATCAGAGGTCCGACATAACTTCTGCATATATAAGAACCAAGTACCCTATGGATCTCCCATTGTCCGGGATCAAGGCTTCTGGAACATTGGATACTGTTGAGAATTTCTGAACATGCTGGGAATACCAAGATTGAAGGATTGAATGAACCTCCAGGTAAACAAGTCAGGAACTCAAAAAATAAATCTAAGAACCATACGGTCACCAACAGGATATAGCATCTGCATTAAGTCATAACAGAAATCCAGAATATAGCCATCAGAACCAGTAGTCATTGTCTAAGCATAATCATCATTTGAATGTGAGTAACCATCTGCACATAGTCACCATCTGTACCTGTGATAGAAATTCCCTCCCCATTCACGGGTGAAAATTAGGTCAGGGTAAGATAATGGTAACTCGAAAATCATGGGTTCGCCTGAAAGTGCTATGGGCTTGCCCACAGACGTGGGTGCCAATAGTAATTCATTTGAACCTCATCTGAGCGTGGTATATGACATGACTGCACTAATCGGACCACGTCCTATAGCCGTCATGCCCCCACTCTATTCCTAGTGTCCTAGTGCACTATGGCCTGGGTACTGGGCCTTTTACCTCAATAGTGACATCCCCACCCAACATAGAGAGCAGAGTCCAGCATAATAGATAACAAATATGGAAAGCCATAAAATGCAATGCAAACTTATGCTCAGATAAACATGTACAAATGAGTAAACTGAAAGCATAAAAATAAACACCCTAAGGAAAGAAAACAAGAGATAGGAGCGACTCCGGGATGGACCAGCATTTGGTCGACCTATTCCCCAGTGAAGTCGCCAGCTGAAACAACCGGCTGAAAATCATCAAAACAATGAAGTCGCCATCGAACGTCTTTTATCCCACAGGAAGGAAAGGTAAACATCGAGAAAACCTGAGAAGGATGAAATCAAGGTTGAACGACCAAGAGATAAGGGTAAGGGAGTCTGTTACGCGAGGGGAAGGTATTAGCACCCCACACGCCCGTAGTACTCTACGGTATCCACTCTTGTTGTCTATCTTATGGGTGTGTTTAATCTATGCTTACTGTTTATTACTGCTAAAGGGAGAATGCATGCAAAAGAAAAGAGAAAAGAATGTAGGGAAAATAAAATTATGCTCGCTTGGGCCCTACCCCAATGCCTATGTATCCCTTTTAAGGAATCAGAGCAGCCGTAGTTCGGCTTATATGTTTTTGTTTGTTTGTATTTTTTACTGAACAGTATTAATTTCTCCTTCTGCCGCAACTCGACCGTTGGAGACTTACGCGTCAGCACAGAAGTGAATTAACATGCTCTTCTGAAAAGTTTGGAAAGAAATGTGCCTGGACGCACAAAAAGTTTTGAATTTGTTTGTGTTTGTAATGAACGATATTAATTTCGCCTTCTGCCGCAACTCGACCTTTGGAGACTTACGCGTCAGCACATAAATGAATTAATATGCTCTTTCGAAAAAGGTTTTTTGAAAGGAAGGCCTGAAGGCAAAAAGAATTTTATGTTTGTTGGTGTTTTTGCCTGTAGAGAATAACTAGTTGATCTCAAGGGAGAGATTTTAGCCATGTCTCTACTTATTCCTGAAATGATTTTTTGAGACTTGAACCATACCAAAGCCTAGAATAAGAGAATGATAAAGTCGAGAAGAAACCCGCTGATCGTCTCATATGCTTAACAAAGATATGATTCTTATCATTAGTTTTAAAGTGTTTTGAATTTTTGAAAAGAAAAAGAAATTTTTGTTTTAAATGCGTATGCGAATGGATAAAGAAAAGTCCAATGAGGACTAGCCTACTTCTAAACCTAATGTTATTGTGCATTAGTAGCCATAAGATTCGGGTTAAAGGGGGAATTTCTACCTAATATTAGCATGCATATGGATTGCGATAAAGAAATGCAATAAAGTACGAAATGAGGGATAAAAAAAGGCCACGATGATACCGAACGGAGAAGGTCCGTTGCCTTTTCAAAGTCACACAAGTGATAAGAAAACTCTACCGAAAGCTGCTCCGCATGAGTGATCATAAAATTAATCTCCAAGCATTCCATATTGCAAAAATTGCATCGATACTATCACAAAGATCTTGACTAAAAATGGCAACCAAAAATGGTTACTAAACATAAACACTAATAGAGAATTCTAATTAAAATTCTAAGAAAAAGAAATTCTAGATAAATTTCTACTATATGCTACCACCTTTTTTATTATTATTATTTTTTATCAGTTAAAAGAGAAAAAAAAAATAAACTAGAAGAAAAAATAAAAAAAGTTAGCAAAGTCACGGGGTGTGAATTTGGCACAAGGAGTATTGCAATGAGACTTGGGCGTAAGGCCCATCCAGCTTGAGCCCAGGAGGATCCTTTTTGTACAAGGCAAACATGTTTCTAAAAAAAAATGCCGAGCCTTTGGGAGTGTAAGCAGCGAGGCCCAACTCAATAACACCAATATCCAATCCAGATTTTTATTTCACCTATTAATATATATTAAATGAAATAAAACTATAAGGAAAAAAAACAAATTAAAAAAAAAAAGATTAGAGTTCATCGTTGGTCTTCACTTTCGTCAAAACGCAACCTCCATACCCAAACCTTCTAGTGCCGCATAGCACCCTCCATCCCATCTATGTTCTCGCGCAGCGAGGGCCTCGCCATTCACCATCATCAGCTTCGTCCAAACTCCCTCATTCCTCTTCTCTCTTATTTCGTCGTTCACCTTCTCATCCTCCGATTCTGTCTCAGTCATTTTTCAATCGCGGCTACAGCTATTTACGAGTCACCTAGTAGCTCCATTAATTCCGCCTCAAGCTCCTTCAATTCCGTCACAGCGGCTTCGTCTTCTTCTCAATTAGTTTCTCACTTCTATTGGAAGACAAGTCCGGCGCGTGTTCAAAACCCAGGTATGCATATTTGATTCCATTTTCTCTTCTTCCCTGAATCCAATTACATTTCGATTATTGCTCAAGCGTTTGTTGCTGTTGTTGTTGATTGAAGGTACGGTGAAGATGAAAGATGATTTTCGATGGTAGTTGGATTTGTTGTTGGTGTGACACGATGATGATGAAAGACGAAGCTTTGTTGATGAAATTGATTGTCAGAGATATGTTGCAACAAGATGATTGCAGATGGACTTTTGCGATGAAGGTTGCATATTCAAAACTTGAAGTGGGGTGGAAATTTTCTGGGTTACAGTAAGGAGTGTCAAGATTGAAGGTGGAGGTGAAGGATGAATAGTGATAAGGGTTGAAGATATGGTTGTGGTGCAGATTGGTTATTCTTGAATGTCATAGCCTAATGCGCTTCTTGAAATGACGTATAACGAGGTTGTGATATCCAATTTATTGAAGATGAAAGAGGGTGATGAAGAGTAGAGTAATTCTGGTGAAGGGGCGATTTAAAGAACATGAAGATGAAGTTGATGAAATTCGATTGGAGGAGTAATTTGCGGTGGTTTCAGAGAAGAGTAAGAACTGTGAAGAAGTTTCAGAAGATAATGAAGCAATATTGATGATTATGCGATTTCAGAGAGAATTGGAAGGTGTGTTTTTTTTTGTGTTGAATCATAAAAATCCTCCTCAAACTGAATGATAATCTCCCTGTTATATAGATTTTCTGCTATATTGTTTAGAAGATGGGATTTGGTTAGAAACTGTTTAGAGTTTGTTAGGAGTTAGTTTAGGGTTTGTTAGGACAGTTAGAAAATCCTTTTATAAGTTATGCAGTGTTGTTTAGTTGGGTTAAAAGGAATTAGTTATAGAATAGTTAGTTGGCAAGCTGAAGGTTATGTCATTGGATTGTTAGTTTTGGATCTGATTGTGGATTGTTTTGATGCGATTTTACAGGTTGAGTTCCAAGTGGCCTAGTAGGATTTGTGTTGAAGTAGCATTTGAATTATCCTGTGTTTTCTCGGCAGAAGATGATGGCGGTACTTGTGGCATTGAAGAACTACCTTTTTTGGAGAACAGAAACCTTGTGTTTGTGAACTGGAAGAGCGTTTATCTCTTCTTCAGTCATAGAAGGTGCAGTAGAAACATTATCCAAATCCAGAGCTCTTAAAGTTCATTAATCTAGATCATCAAACTCCCGATCAAGAAGTGTCAGCTGAAGTCTGAGATCCTGCAGACGCCCTCGGCTTGCAAGTGTTATCGATGGAGGCATATGCAATCGTAATTCTGTATGGCCAAGAAGACCACTGGCTACTGCTGCATGAGCTTGGGCCTGGGCTTGAAGCTGTGGACATGTTGCAGAATCACCATCGTCATGGACAAAACGAACAATATGAAAATCATCAATTCTCTCTATTGACAATCACAGAAAGGCTTCCATAAAACATCTCCTCCCATGAAGACATCTCAAGAAAATAATTTTGAAGTTGTGCTTTAAACTCCTCCAAAACTAATGGTCGAAACATTTCCACATATTGCTCAGCTGATTGAAAACATACAGGAACTTCCTTTAATCTGTTAACAGCTCGACTTTCATCTTTTCTTGCAGATGACAAACAAACTATTGCAAAATAATCTATTTCAAGAATAGGTTTATACCAATCATCCAAACTTGGTGGCTTGAATCTTCTCGTTTGGTCCCCTGCCTTATGAAGACTACCAGATCTGTTTTCAAGAGTAGTTTTTAGTTGAGTAACTTGCCTTTTCAAAATCGAAGTGGGCTTTGGTACATACAACTGGGTACGCCCCACAGATTTCAATGCAGTTTCTAGCGGGTCATCTTCAGAATCCCGAAGGTCACTTAAAACTTCGTTACCAGGACATGGCAGAGTGTCACTAATTTTGGAAGCTATATTACTGCCTGTTCTATTCAAACTCTTAGTACTAACAGTTTCAACAAAAGATTTTATCGAATTGACCCTATCCTTGGATTTGGAAATTCCTTCCCTCTTACAACTCTCCGGGCACTTTGAATCAACATATGGAGCAACTGCAAGCTTATTGCATAAATTACCAGAGTCTTGTTTCTGAGAAGAAAGACTGAAAGCTTCAGCAATATCCTTCTTCATGTAAGCAACATTTTGGATTGCACGGTCAGATGCTAGTGAACTATTACCAGCAGTATGAGGCTTTAAGTTGCCATCAGATATGTTTTGACCTGTCTCACTAACTGATAAAATGGCATTAGAAAACACATTTGGTTCAAATTCATCATCTGAAAGAATAACTATAGTTTCCGTATCTTTTTTGCCACTCATCACTTTAGAGTCCAAAATTTGTAAGCCTTTTTCTTCCGTGGATGAAGAATAATTTAAAAAGTTATTTTTTTAAAGACAGGCTTTTAGTTAATGATGACTTGAACTTCGCATTTTCCTCCTGAAAATTATGAGAGTCTTCACTAGATAGAGACATGGTCAGGCGAGAGACATGTTCTGACAATCCTTCCAAAGTAAAACCATTGCTCGTAATAAGATTTTCAATGATCATGATTGCTGATGCAAAAGTTTTATTACTAGAACCTTTGAACAGATTCAGTAAATAAGTAAGTGCTCGTTTCCAATAAATAATTACAACTTTTAGCATGGACTTTCCCCATTCCATGAGATTGTGAATCCATTTGACACCCAATTTATTTTTGACCAGCATTATGAAATTTCTAAGCTCTTCTCTACCAAATAGGCAGAGTTTATCAATATCCACAGGCAGAGAATCAAAAGCTGGCTGTTTCAAAAACCCGCCTTGTGAAGAGAACTTTGGCAGACTTGAGTCACCGTGTCTATTTCCGACCAACTTTGGGCCAAGTAAACCCTCATCTTTGAGTAATTTGCATAAAAGAAACCAAAAATGATGTAAAGTATGAAACTTCAACAGAACAGAATCCAGTTGGACCAGTTTCATAGCATGTTTTAGTCCCAAAAGAGTTGCATGCAACGAGGGTCTGTGAGAACAAAGAAACTTCAAACCACAAGAAAGACCACGAGTATCTGAAACTTGTTCCAACATAGACTTTCCAAACTGTCTAACATCGTCATTTGGATCCAATAATGAAAGGATCAAGCTTTGACTCATTAGTGGTTCCCAAACCCACTGACTTCGAAGTTCTCCTTGTCTCATCTGAACTAGAAAATGTGTAGTGAACCTGTTAAATAATCTTATTAAAGGAAAAGACATAATCAACACTTCAACTGAGTTCTTAGTTTTGTTTCCATCACCGCCATCATTAGATCCAGTTGGAACTTTCCACCCAAATGAAAAATGATAATTCTGCAACAAAAAGATGAAAGGCAAGATCTGACTGGAGGCATCATTTCAGCACTACTTTTAAGCTCTACCATCGGAAAACGAGATCGTGCCCAAAAAACAGCTTTGGAAAATGAAAGTGGGAGAATTGAGGGACTGGTATCAACTAAAACATCAACCCATAACATTGGAATGCACATCCAATCTCGGCACTCCTGAGAGGCTATACCACTCTGCGCATTGAATTCACTCCAAGAACTATTACAATCCTGCTCTTCGCAATCTAGAATAGATGACAGCCAAATATCATCACTTTCATTATCCAATTTAGGGAACTCGTATGCCATGCTACTATCAATGCTACGAGTTACGCAATAATTCAACACTGAATATATTAAAGCAGTAGCATCTGACACTATGATTGTCTGTATAAGCTCAGAAGCAGGTTGCCTCAGAGAACTGTGAAGTGAAGAGTCCTTCAAAGATGAGACGAGCGAGGGTCCCCACATATGTGCACACTCAAAAGGAGGGCAAGGCGGGCTCATCTTGTAACCTCGGTGTATAATAAGAAGTGCCATCTGACATGCCAATCTTCTTGTTAGAATGCTGAAGTTACTGCTCGTTGGCACTTGATGAAGGAGAAAATAGAGAAAATGCCTACGTTGCTTTTCATGCTCCCCATCATGCAAAGCTTCAAGAGGTTGTAGAAAGGGTTGGAATAGACCAAAAATATCTATATGGATTTTCTCATTGCGAATATGGAAGCACTGACCAAGTAGAGTGTTGCGCATTGTGCTTGGAGACAGTGTAGAGCTTAACCAAAGCTTACAGCCGAGCATTTCAAAAAGTAGTCTCAAGCAAGTAACAACATGTGAAAATTCAAGTGAATCGCCACTAATATGATTGAGTACAATATCAAGAAAAAAGGGATAATTCTCCAATATCCCTTCTTCAAAAGCTGGAGGATCCAAGAAACCGAGTAGTGATTTGATGCCAATCCATATGGACATGCAATCCAGCAGAGTTTTTGGTGTTGAAGTCTCCATAACCAATGGCAAAGCATCTGCCTCTAAACATCAGATAAATTTCTTAAGCAATGGTTGTAGAGGTTCCAAGTCTACTGCGCTCCTTACTCTTCCCATTGATCCTGCTAGGCGGTATCCAACAGAACGAACAATTCTCTTGCAAAAAAGTAATGCATACACTCTCGGAAATTGTTGATGGGCAGACAAAGCCAGTTCGTGCTTATTATCAATAGCCTCAACAAACAACTCAAACTGAGTGAACAGAGGCTGATAATCTAAGAGAATTGGGAACATTAATACCTCATACAAGACATTAACAACTTGAGCATTATGGCGTGCATAATCATATTCTTCCCCTATTATCTTTGCATTGATATCAGTGAGGTGCGATGTGACCCTGTCATGATCAAGGTTTCGCAATATATCAAGAAGAGGAGCGATGGAGGTAGAATCATACTCCATAGTATACATGTCTTGGGCTTGATGGTGCTGAAATTCAAGCTGAACATTGAAGCAAAATCCTAATTCCAAGACCTTGTATACCGAGAAGATCCTGGACAATCAAACTTATTCAACACATACACCTCAAATCGGCTGTAACCCTAGATCCTCAGGCGATCTATTTTATGAAAAATGTGTGCTATGCCCATGACCCATTGGAATGATGCAGATGAATGCAAAAAGTCTAAACCATAAAAGTGCAATTAAGAGGGCAAATTTTGGGGTGCAACACACTTCAACAATTAGTAATGTATGATCAAAACGCATTTATGTTACTTGAATCAAGCATAATGAATTTGAAAAAAAATAATACAAATCGTGCGAGTTGGTTGATGCATTTGGCAATGTTTCAGAGCTTAGTAATGGTTGCAAATGCTTCATAGGAACTCCAAGAGTGTGTTTTGATCTTTGTTTGGGACTAAAACAAGCTGGAGATGGAGATTCGAATTTGACAATTTTAGTGTTTTTTTTGCAAAAATTTCAGGGGTTCCCCAGGCTCTCTCTATCTGTTTGATGCTTGCCAATGGCTTGTTTATATAGAGAATGATGAGGAGACACGGAATGTAATGCTTGTAACAGCCATAGACAAGCATTTGAATGCCATGAATGTCCATTTATAACCTTGGCCAAAGTTAAGGGATTTTATCCATTTTCAAGTTTAAATGCACCTAGACAAAGTTGGCCTTGTTGCACACGAAATATGGGGCCTCTCCATGCACCAAACCAAGCCCAAATGATAATGGCCCATATATTTTGCAATAATCTTGATTTATTTGATTTTTAATTAAATAAAATTAATATAAAATGCAAATAAAATCAAATACTATGCAAAAATGGTTTTGTGGGTCCTCAATGATCTTAGGAAGATGTTTGAAGTTCACGAATTTGAGTCATTGCCTTAAAAACTCAAATTTGCTCAATGCATATTTCTTGAAATTTCCCAAGTTTTCCAACTTGAGAAAGCCATAACTTGTCCAATTTTTATCTCATGATGATGATCTTTGACTTTTTAGAAAGCCCAAGATGTCTACTTCAATCACTATTTTTATCAATTTTGCATTTGAAGATGTTATCTTGATGTTAAAAGTCTTGGAAAAAAGTGGCTTTTATTGACTTTCTAAAAATGACCTATAATGTATGAACTTGTATTTTTCAAATGGTGCATTTCTTAAACTCAAGGGATGAAGAGAACTTGTAGGGGATTGGATTATCTTCAAAATGATCTTTGGTTGGAAAATTACTGATAAACTATGAGAAAGTTATGCTTGGTCAAAGTTTGGTTGACTTTTCCTATAGAAACCCTAATTTGCCATTTTTGACTGTTGATGGGTTATGGGAATTTCTTGAAGAATCATGATCAAACCTTGATCAAGTGATGGATATCACTTCGAAATGTTGATGTTGACCAAAAATCTTGAAGTTTGACTGTACATGGGCCACCGTTGACTTTTGACCTAACACAGTTGATTTTCCAATACTTGAGCAATTAACCGAGCAAACTTATTGTGCAAGGCATGAAATTTGGCATGGATGATCTTTAGTACATATTAGGACAATGGAGAACATTTGGGATCCTTTGAGCTCAACCATCTTGATGAAAATGGAAACCCTAGTTGGGGGTTCATTGCCGTAGAAGGAGAATTGTTTGGTCAATCCTTGGTCAACCTTGAGCAATTGAGAACCTCTAGATTGGCTTGTCTGCCCTTTGTGATCTGAAGGTGGAAAATGATTGAACACTAGAGTGCCCCGAAATTTTCACTCACCCGAACTGAGACTGCTGGTGAATAATATCGGGAATAGGCTTACATATGCCATTTGGAAAAGATGACGGAAGACTGTCAGAGATGGGCTTAAAGATGCCATCCGAAATCCATGCTGATTTCATAAGAATTCTCTTTGTGGGGTCCCTGTTCCTTCTGTCCGAGGAGGAGTCTGCTGGGGAATGTCGGTCTCTGTCTTGGGGAATAGAGTTTAGAAGCTTCAGTTGTCCACTAATCTTTTGGGGAGTAATTTCTTGACTGAAGATACGAAAGTGAACTTCTATCTGGTCAGGATCCAGGCTTCACAGTGACTTGCTTAGGATGATGAGGCTGACTGCTATCTTGTCGTATTCCAGGCTTCACAACGACTTATTGGGGAAATGAGATTAAACTATTAAGAATCAGTAATAAATCAATGGTCGATTCAAGCTGATCCAGCGAAGCTCTTGATTTATCTTTGACTGGATAAGAATCAGAAAAATCTTAGTGTCGATTTAACTGAACCACTAAAGGTCTTGAATTATCTTCAACTGGAATAGAAATTAGAGAGATCTTAGTGTCAATCTGACTGAACCAGAGGAAAATCTTGAATTAACTTTGACTGGATAAGAATAAGAAAAATCTTAATGTCGATTTAACTGAACCAGTAAAAAGTCTTGGATCATCTTCAATTGGAATAGGAATCATAGAGATCTTAGTGTCGATCTGACTGAACCAGAGAAGGTCTTTAAT